GCATCATACCCCCCCACCCCCCTCTGAAATGTATGGGACAGAAGCGGAAGGTGGTTCTTAAAGAGACAGAGGCCAATTTCAAAGCATTTAGAAGAGGAAATGATGAGGAGATAAGTTTATTTTCTATTTAAACATAAAAATAGCATTTTAATAACAATTGAAGGTGACATAGATACTTTATTATGGTATAGTATTTAAATGTATGCCTGAAAAACACATAATATTGCCCCTTTAAAATCAGGTCTGGTCAACACTGGCTGTAACTGGAAAAAKTTTTTTTCTGCAAAACAGAGTTAATATGTTTGTTAAACTTAAAATCAGAGTCTAAAATCATCTCCAGATCCACAACAGACTACTTAAGATACAATTAAAAAGAGCCAAGATTTACTGGAAGGATGCCAGCAGTAGAGCTATATGGCTGAACAAAATAACCTCAGTTTTCGTATCTTTAAAACTTAAATTGGAACCATCCTATTTTTAATGTCATCAAGACATTTTAATAAAGAGTGGATGGAGAACAAACTATTAATATGTTTTTAAGGGTAGGTAGATCTGACAATCATCTGCATGACAATGAAAGGATAGATCATGTTTCCTCAGAACAAACCCCAGAGGAAGCAGGTACAGTGATGACAGAAGTGACCCAAGAATTGAGCTCTGGAACCCCACAGAAAAGAGGCGCTAAAGTAAAAACAAAGTTTCCAACATTAACACAAAAACTTTTGTCTCTTAGTAAGAATGAAACCAATCCAGTGCTGCTCCTGTGAGCCCAACCCAGAGTTCTTACCATGATAGTGGTCAACAGTATCAAAAGCTGAATTTATGTCTAGAGTACCACAAACTGACCAGAGTCATTTCATAAAAAATGTATACGTATACATAAATTTATAAAACAGATATGAGAGAGAAAGTCAGAACACAATTCTTGTTTATAACTTATACAATATTCCATATGATAAAATGATTTCACATTTTGTTTGGTTTGAGGAAAAAATGATTTAATGTAGAAAATCTGTTCAATGAAAAATCTTTACATTATTCCAAAGTTTATTACACACAAAAAACACATTTATTTTCCTGCCTTCAGCACTACAAAAACCCTTAAAAAAAGCTCATCTTAATTTGACATTTTTCTTTATTTGCCACATCTTACAAGCTGCAGTTGATGTAGTCCAAACAAATCTTATTTGACTTGTCACAACATGCTCCAAAATAAATAAAGCAGAGCAAACAAAACATTACATAATAATGAATTACGTGATTACTCAGTCTTAAGTGCTGAATTTTGGGTCAGTTGCTGTAAATAAGAACGTTTTTCCCTGCTATACTAAAACTGGTGCCTGTGAAAGAAAAGTAAATTATATCACATCATACATCATTTCCTACATTAAACACATGTTTCACAAAGTTCTTTTGTCATTCAATAATTCCACCATCATATCAGTAGACATCATTTTCTTACTGAACTTATTGTTACAGAAATTTATTCAAGTTGTTACTACTGTTTGCCAAAGCCTTACCCTTTTTCTTTGACTTGTATTTATTGCGCAGTTTCTAGTAATGACATTACCCAGAACATATGACTCACTTTTACATAATATTCCTTAGAAATGTCAGTTTGCATCAATAGAAAACTATAAGCTCTAAAAAGGTTTGGGTTACACATAAGCAAAAGACACACACACACACACACACACACACACACACACACACACACACACACACACACACACACACATACATACCTATTTTTATTTTAGTTAACTAAAATTAGAATATGAATTGACTATATGCACTAAGTCTGGAATTTCTAAATTCATAACACACTTATAGACTTGTAAGGTGTTATTCATTGAAACATCTAATATATTTGTACTACATACCAGGTGGTCCAGCTGGAATATAGACTGGATTCTCTGATTCTGTGCCTTCCTTCTCTCCTTCAGTTTCCTCTGCACTGTCTTCTTTCTCCCTTTCTCTGACTCTGAAATTGTCTCTTCTTCACCACTTATGCTGACATCACTTTCCTCCTCTTTTTCACCTGTTGCACTTTCAGTGGGCTTCTTCACATGTGACCCTCCTGGTCTCTCTATCTTCCTTTCTCAACTCTCAATCTCTTCTTCCTTCTCATACCTTGCTTTTTTGCAAAAAAATAACTGTCAATATCTCTACTTTAAAATTTATTTTTCATTTTGGTCTGCAGTGTGCAAGCATTGAGATTTTTAAAAATTAGCCCATTATTATCATAGCTTATCAAATCATTATCATAGCAGCTAATTTACTTTCTTGATCTGACAAAACAAATGTAACGTGGTTTAATTGTGCCTCATTGCCATGGCATTGAT